TGTAGGTAAAATCCAGAGAGTTGGCTACAGAGGAACTGCAGAGAAAGAAAAGAAACGCTTTATCGGTTGTCGAACCAAGAACCTGTCGTACACTCTCACCGTTTGGTTGAGTCGCCCCATGAATATAGAATTTCAGTAGAAACTCTTGAAAAATGTATTGGTCTCACACATCGTCTCTCTTAGCCTCAGCAACAATCCCTTATCAAGATGATGTGACTTCCTGCCAACGCTGTGACTCTCCTCCCTTTGGTCTCCTATTCTTAACCTTCCTCAAACTCCCATAAATCGTCTTTTCCTTTTGTAAGTCGTCCTCCACTTCTTTGACTCACTCGTTTGCCCTCCTTGGTTTTTTACCTCATTAGGACACATCCATACCTCAAATTGTAGCTGGCAGGATCATCACGGTGCAAAGTGTGGGGAAGATCACAGGGGTGCTCTTAATGAAAGGTGTGTGCAGGGGCTATTTCTAAATTACACATCCTTAGCCGGCGCTCTCTGATGAAAAGAAAGAACATAAATCCATAGAGAGAAGGAAGGAGGTTGGCAGAGGAGAGAGAGAGAGAGAGAGACAGATGTAAACCTTTCCAGGACAACGGCCAATTAGATTCTACAGATCATTAATAATAACCTACACTTTGACTTTTCTTTTTTTATAATTAGATTGTATTGTACAAATCAATACCAGCTTTTTTCAATCACTCTCCCTTCCTCGCGTCATTAAGACTCTGCACTCTCTTTCTTTCCTCCTTTCACTCCTTTATTTGATCTATTTTTTCATATCGCAGTCCTCTCCTGTCGTGGAGCTGTTTGTAGTGTTAAATCATCCTGCAGAGGTGACAAGTTTTGCTTCATTAAGTAGTGGCAGAGTGCACTGCTTCGCCATGGAGTTAAGGTAAGAGTAAGGGTCTATCAATAACCATTAAGGATCCTCTCTCATTAGACCAAACCTCATAGGCCCCCGGGGCTTGAGAAGTGGGCCCTGCCATCTTATGTGATGGAGTACACTTTCACGGCATCACCAGAATGCAAAGTGAGTTATTTTCATACCGGCACTGTTGTGTACACAGCCTTATTCTCATTCAACCTGTTTAATCAAGAAGAACCTCACCCCTATCACTAACCCCCAGTTTGCTTTAGCTCCTTCCTTTTCCTCCTCATCTTTTTACACACACACCACAAACCCATCCAGCATATCCGAGCCACTGCAGTATGATTTTTCATATGGCAATGAGGCTGGATCAAGCTTTGCAAGGCTGCCACAGTGTGATGGGACTGTTTCCAGATGATGACTTAGGAGCCCTACAGCTTCCCTGCCAAGAGCAGGGAATTCAAACTTAATCAGGGCGTGGACGCCTCCCTCCTCCGTCTCCTTGTAGAGCTCCGGGGGGTCGAGGCCAAAACAGGAATAGAACGAGAGAGACAAAAGTCAAAGTCGTTTTCCTTGAGGGGAGCCAGAGGTTTTCTCCCATGAGTGATAGGTTCATTTTAGGGTTATTGGAGAAAGTTTTTTGTCTCGCTCAGCGAAGAGAAATTAATAAGATTAGCTTTGTTCTACTCTCTTATCTCGCCTGCTTTCTCCCTCACACACACACACACACACACACACACACACACACACACACACACACACACAATATTCCAAATTTCGACACTGACTGTTGTCCATCCATCACCAGTGGGCTCGTATATTTCACTGAAGCCCAGACAGCGATCTCTGCAGCAGGGAGCCTCCAGCCTTCAGCTCACCCCTATCCGCAGAACATGGTCACAGCAAGGGGAGGAGGCAATGATCAGTCCTGATCAATAATACATCGACTGCATTAAAGCTTATGAATAAGTCATGGACGGAAGGAACCCAGCCATGATTTGGAACACACACACACACAGCAAAGTGATCTTTTACTTAGGCCAGGGAAGATGAACAGTCAGAAAAAGGGAACAAAGCGAGGGCTTTAACTGGGAGGGAAATTTATCACCCACCCACTGACATTTGGTGGCATGTTGAGGCTCCGCTCTGTCTCTTCGCTCTGCCACCCACTCCATTCGCTGCCATTCTCTCTCTCCCCTCTCCCTCTCTCTCTCAAGTAATGGCCTTTTTTCCTGCAGGTGGAATAAATAAGTTAATACATGTGTCCTAAGGCTGAGCAGGGACCATCTGAATATAAATAGTTCATTTGCCATTGTAGAGGCCTCACTTTGTGCCATATGAATATATTTGTATTATCTTCTTCTTTTTTTTTCTTTGTCTTCATTTTTTTTTTTTTTTTTTTTTTTACAAAGACCGGGGTGACTGTTTTGGTTGACTAGAGATGCAAGGTGAAATTGCCTGAGACAAATAAGTCTCCGAACATTTTTATTTTTTTTCAACCTCCAACCCCTCAGTCAGGGAGGGAACCGTGTGAACGCCGGGACTTTAGCTCGATGCACAGCCTTGTGTGTGCTGTGTTGACAACAGAGAGCAAACAGTGTGTGGGTTGCTGTAGACGGTTTGAACGCTGCATGAAATCGTGCTGTGGATGAAAGGGCAGGTGGTAACTACTGCCAAGAACTTGATTGAGAAAAGCACTTCTGAAAAATTCATGTCTCCACTGTTTATTTAAGGGAAATGGTATTTATCCAACATTGTCATTTCTTTGGGCAGTCAGTGAGCTGCCACTTGATGCCAAGTTGTGTGTATATGTGTGTTTCTGTTGTCGCTGCTTTATTAAAACCTGAAAGTGTTGTTTATAGCTTGACCTCTAAGCATTTTGGAGTTGAGAGGCTAAAAAGACTCAGCTCGTAGCTATACACAAGTGTTATAACACACATTTGGGATAGCTCTTTGATGAGATGCCCCCGTTGTGAGTTTGTGTTGTGCTGATGTGCTCCTTGAGGATGTGCAGGAGGAGGAAGCAGCTCTTTGTTTCTGCCACCAGAAGTATGTCAGACAGAAATACTCAGAGAGAGAGAGAAATATCTCTGTGTATTAACCACTGAGTGGAGATTGTGCTGCATGTGGCAGAAAAACGGAGATGTTGGAGGTGGAACAGTATCAAACAAGTGAGCGGGAGACGCATCAGAGAGGCAGAAATGGATGGAAATAAGAGATGAAAACAGAGAGATAAGAGATGAAAACACACACATACAGTTAATCACCATCAGATAACACACACAGACACACACATACACACAGACACACACACACACAATCAGCAGGCTTGAGTTTAACTACTTTAAAAGCTGAAGAATCTTTTACTCAGGAATAATTTTCTTGCATCTCTATGGTGACCCTTATTGTAGTTACTGGAGTTATTTTAGATATATACAACAAATGTATAATACTACATGGTCTGTGTTGCTGTTTAGTTCGTATACATGTTTAAAAAGACTCCAAGTTTATTCTCGATAACAGATGTTTCATTTGAAAGGGACAACCAAACTGTAAAGTCTTATGATATTGGAATTTTCTTCTTTCTTTTTTTATCAGATATTTTTGTCTAAACAACTGTTTGATAGATGAGAAGTTATTTTGTTGTGACATTCGTAATCCCCCATGTATCGTAATAACTGTGGTCATTTCTATGTTCTTTGTTTTATAAGAATTTTGTTTAGAAGTTAGAAAACCTTCTGAAGAACTGTCTTTTTAGCATCATTGCTAACTACCTCATCTCAACTCTTACTGCTCATGGAAGCGCTCCATTCACTTTCTATGTTTCTGTGTTTTGCAAAAGCTCTTTGTGCTTCTCCAATAAATTAGACATAAAAATTACCTGTTATTATCTTGAATGGTTGTCACGAACCACTTTCCTGTCAAATGTAATAACCAGTGAACAAAGCTTTGGTCAAATGTTGCTGCTGCTCACAGGCTGAACCAATAATTACATCAAATGTAACCCTGAACTAAAAGTTTCTTTAATATCAGTTTTAAAGCAGAAACCTCGGGTGGTCTTTCCCTTTACTCCAGGTTGTGATCTATAAAACAGTTTGACACCATCAATATATATGGAACAATCTCTTTTTTGTGGATATTTGCTGAGTTAAATGACAGTAAATTCTAAAGCTAACAAACCGTCCAAGGTCATAGGAAGAGACTTTTGAATAATGACATGATGGCACTTCCTCTTAGATGCATTGAATCTCATTGAATTAAACAGCATCTCTATACAGCAAGTGTGTGTTTACAAAGATGCTGATGCTTAGTCATATTGAAAATGGATGTGGTTGTGTAGATTTAGGGGGGAATCATTATGAGAAAGATGGAGGGTAGAAAGAGACGAGCTGCAGGAAAGAGTTTCAAATAACGGTGCTCTATCACCTGCACGACATTGTCCAATTAGAGCATATGATTAGTGTAGACTGTCTCCAGTGGAAATGAATCTATCAGCCCCGTCTCGGATTGCTACAGGTCCCTACAGTTTAGTTCTCACTTTGTCTCTGTCACCGCAGAACTGCTAATATAAAAACGACAGAATGGATGATTTCTACTTAAGACGTAGCTTGATTGAAACTGATTACATTTCACCAAGGTTTATTATATTTCCATGTTATGTGCTCGTGCTGGAGGGCGTGTGTGTGTGTGTGTTTGTGTGCGGGTGGGGGAGTTGTGTTTGTGTTTATTTGTAAAACAGGAGGAGAATTGGAGGACTGGAAGTGATCAGATGCATTTACCTCCCCCGAGGAAGTTGTGTTTTTAACCTGTGTTGGTCTGCACGTTTGTCTGTAAGATTACACACAACAACTGAACAGATTTACACAACACGTGCTGGATGGATGCAGTATGAGTTTGGGAAGATCCCATTCAATTTTGGTGCAGATCCAGGAATTTGTTTCCTTTAACATTGCAAGATTGTTGTTTTTTGATCATTTTCAAAATTCATTAATGAAAACAATCTGACACATTAAAACACTGGTTTATATTAATGTGTGATCTGTGGTGCAGCTTGATTGAATGGGCCTTGTTGGAGGTATGTGCTCCATTGTGCCATTTTAGTTATGGTTATGTGTTTTTCCTCTCCTCCCAGGTTTCCAGAGCCAAGGGCAGCCCCCCTCGACCCACGGGACTTGGAAGACGATGATTCTGGACCATCCATGGACCATGCCCCCTGATAGCAGCACTCCAGACTCTTTACTACATCCACCTGTCCTTCAATGTCTGCTTCAGCCAGCTGTCAGTCCGGCCAAGCTGTCAGCCTTGGCCCTCGCTCTGTCAGCCGTCTCCCTATTACCACCCCTCCCTGGTTTCTGCTGGCAGTGGCCTGACCTTGAAGGAGGCTGCTGTGACAAATATGGATGGCCCTGTCCTTTCTGCTCTCAAACCTTTTTAATTCCCCACTAGCTACTAACTTTCTTTAATTGAAGCGCACAACTTATGTGCAATCAATTATCATCAGGCTCAATTTCCACAGCCAGTCAGATCCAGGCTTTACTGGTGAGCCTGGCTGAGCCGGAGAGGAAGCCTGGGCAGGCAGCTGAGCGGAGCGTCTGTTGAGCCCAACAGATGTCAGGAAAATGGGAAAATTCTGTGACATGGTATGCTTCACTCTTCATTTATTCGCAGTATCGTTTTGATTCAGTTGCTGTGACAACCACTGTGGATGCTCTCACACGTAGAAAATATTTTTTTTTCATACGCCACAATGTCTTAAACCACGAAGATGATTTTTGATATGGCTCTATTGGGTATAATTCTTTTCTTTTTCCCACGATTTCTTTCCCTTTCTATCATCATGTTGCCTTCGGTTACCTGCCAATTTTAATGCTTGAAGATTTGTGCGCACTTATTTCTGTTCCTGTCAGATCTATTATCAGAAACATAGGGGGGTGCATTTTGACACTCATTGATTGGTAAATGTTGCTGAGTCTTTGTTAGGTAAAAATCGAATTGTAATTTCACTGTGCAAAATAGCACTCTCACAGTATCAGCTTTCAGTGCACTATAATGTAAAGGCCCATTACTCTCGAGCCAATCTGCAGCTTATGACGGATCGCCGTCCAGACTAACACACACACTTCCTACCTTGTACCACCGCGAATGCCTGTTTCAGCAGTTTGTTTTAATGTGATTGATTCTGTTGCCTTAAATTCAAAATCTCAGTTAGATTGAAACCCTGCCTTCTTCAATATCAGGTAGAGTTAAAGAGAGAAGGCTCCCGTGGGTCGTTTGAGGCTCTCGTCAAACAACTGGGTGTAGTTTCATCTAATCGGGGTTGAAAAAATGACAGACGCGAGACGGATTTGACAACAACATGACTTTCCTACTGTAGAACTGCACTAAGATGCACTGAGAGTTGTATACACATACCCAAGGGAAATGTTCGTGAGTCAACAGCCTATTGAAATCATTCTTTATTCTAGTGTAACAACAGAAAGAGTCTGACTGTCTGATGTTTCTCTCTCCTGTTTCCATTTTTCTATTTTTGTCTGAAATCTATAAATAAACAGCCTCTTTCTTACATTGGGTGTTGAAGATGATATTCATGCATATACAAAATAAATTATTTTCTATTTTGCAAAAGTGAAAACTATCAGTCATCCTCAACACTATTATCAGAAAACCTTAAAGACATTTGACGATGTATGGAGAAGGAGTGTAAAGAGGGAACTCGGCAAGGGGAGGATTTATTTTTCTTTCATCAACATTCGAAGCAGCAAACCATCCAGATAGGACTGGGAATAGGACGACTGGGAGCAAAGGGGTCCAGAGCAAGATAACTCCTCAGGGTCTCTGCTCCTCTAAAGACACATTTAAATGCAGACTGGAATCACGCCTGCAGAACCACACCAGCCAGAACCCACTTTTCATCAACCCATAGCCACAATCAGAAAGCCTTTGTCTCACCTCTGCTCGTTTTTCTTTCTCACTTTCCCTCTCTTGCCTTCTCAGAAGCACATATTGGCTTCACACCTGAGAGAGCTCTCAAACCCATTAGAGATTTTCTACTTTTCTTTCGTGTGCAATCGCTCCTGGTTACATTTGAGGTCTTCCTACAGGTGGGAGGCACAATTCCTGTTTTTTTTCAGTATCTTAAACACAAGAGCCTCGCTCGCTACATTTGTTAGCAAACTGACTGAAAAGAAACTGGCCACATCAGAAGCCAAAGAACGATGTCAGCTGACAAGGGTGTGGTTAAAAAGGGCTAATGTGACAGGATTGCACACATCCTTGTGCTTCATTTAGCTCTTGTCAACAAGTGATCTCTATCAAATGTCTGTGAATATGTAGAATCTGTAGGCGAGGAACATGATTTTTGGCTGGAAAACTTCTGGTTTCTAGTTTGCACACTAACCAAAATGTATTGGCTATCAGCTTTTTAATTAACGGAATCCATCTGCACGTAGCTGTAAAAAGAGATTAGCCATAATGTCGTCTGAACCTAAATCACCTCCAAAAAGTATCACTGTTGTTGTGGAAAGATGTTCGACTGCGATAAAAGAAACTAGCCAGACTGTTAACGTTGAACAGGGAATGGAAGGTGGACTCGAAGCTCCAAAATATTTCTCCATTGCCCCCAGAGGCTAATTCATCATCAGACGATAACCGGAGGGAATCTGAGATTAGAGTAAAACCCTGTCCGATTGTCCTCTTCTTTCCTTCCTCCATCAATGTCTTCCTAAGTTTCTTTTCTGGCTCTGCCATGATGTCATGATGGCTTTTTCTTTTAGCTAACTCTTGCTCATAGCTCTGGCTCTGGTTGTTGGTTATGAGACTCATGCCATAAGCAACCTTGCAAATGTTCCTGCACGGTACACCAGAGCATAATCCAGTTCCAAGCATTTCCAGAGTACTGTGCCGCTCTTCCTATTATGTTTGTGTACCATCAAAATGATTTTAAAGCCGGTATTTGAAGCGAAGAAATAAAACGACATTGTGCTGCTGTGAAGCCGGATACAAGCTCCCGCACGGAGAGAGAGGCTGGTTTCAGCGAATAATCATTATCCTGTCATCTGTCGGCAAGCCCAAACAGATCAGAGAAATAATAACAAACCTGAGGTGGGGGACAGTGCGCCTGTTGTCGAGGGAGGAAATGTAGGGGAAAAGATTGTCTGATCTCATTTAGCTTGGGAGACCACGAGGTTCCCCCTTTTGTTTCCACACCCAATTACACCTGCTCTTCCAGGTTCACTTCACTGAGTCACAAGGATGTGCGGGTAAACACAAGCATAGCTGTAAGACCTCCTCTCCACTGATGGGCAAAAGACATTATTTGTGCAGTTGTATTGACATGAATTAATTGCTTCATGGGTTGTGAGATTGAATTAGCTACGTGACATGCTTGCTAGTGGTGATGGAGCTTTGATTGCTGCCTTTAATGGAGCCTATTTCTCTCTGCCATCATTTAAAAGACAGTTGAAGGCTCTGGTTTCACAGTAATGGAACGGCTCCACCACACATCAGCCCACCATGAGACTCCTAAATGATTCTGTTTATTAGCATGCAAGCTGCAAGGGAAACCAAAATTTTGTCTTCATAAAACCACACATTTCCCTAAGATGTGTGTGTGTTTGTGTGTGTGTGTGTGTGTGTGTGTTGGTGGAGGGGGTGCAGGATGTGTATGTCTATATGTGTTTGCTTCAGAGGATTTGTGAGGCTGTGCATTAGCCTGTGAAAAATGACATTTTATTTGCAGAGACCCACAGCTCTGTTCCAGATTGCATGTTCTTGTACCATTCAAAAGAATGTATTGCTTGTCTCACAGTAAATGCACTTTTTTATTCATCTCCCCCCCCTTAGCCTCTACGCACACACACACACACGGACACACACACACACACGGACACACACACACACGGACACACACGGACACAAAATAAAGGGATATGGCCACGGACTTTCTATTTTCCTCTGTTTGCTTTGGGTTCAACATCTCACTGAACTGAAACCAGAGATGACTTTTACACTATCACACATAGCGTTCTGAGGACTGCAAGATAGTATCACTGTTGAATTTAACACTCTTATCCTCTGTGGTGTGGTTATGTGCCTTTCTGATATGTTTGCCATGCATTATGGATACAAAGTGGGAGGTGTGTGGGTAAAATTACAATGTGGGCAAAGAAAAAAGACTGGGGCTTGAAAACACCCCCGAGGTTCATAAAATAGATGATTAAAGAAGATGCACGCAACCAAATACATGACATTACTTGACTCACGGATTTTACATTTGTTGTTAGTGTTTTCATTCTCAAACTGCACTAACAACTTGCAGCTTTTTCTTTTAGCTAGCTGCTAACTCCAGCTCATTTAGCTAGCCGCTAACTCATTTCGTTTATATTGTTCAACAAAGGGCTAAAGATAAGGAATACAAAATATGTATATATAAGCAGAAGGCACGTCCTCACCTGGTGTTAAAGAGTGGACAGTGTCTGCAGTCACACCTGGTTTTAACATGCGTCTCTTGATCGGATCTCACTTCTCGCCCTTTATGTAAATACACACATACATCAAGTTATGTTGTTTTCACTCGGTCTTCGAGGACCAAGTCTGAATGTTGTCTGGCATGATCAGATTGATCACATCGGTACTTTGAGCTGTCTGCTTGTGATTGGATCACAAAAACCACGTACGTTAATACTGTGGTGTTTACAAGGCTGTAATCTCCTCCCAGCTGAAGAGGAGGCGCTGCAGGTTTTGGACCAGCCTAGACTGACTGACAGGAGGCATCTGTCAGTGGGGGCAGGTACAGTCTGGCAGCTCAAGCTTATGAACAATGACTGGGTGGAGACGAGAGAGGCCGGAGAATCCATCTCTCCTCTCGACAGCCTCCATCACTCCTTCATCCCAGAGTCAGCAAAGACATCTCAGTTCCTCTGGCTCTATCCGCAGCACAATCATTTCGTGTCGGATCATCCGACGTGTGCAAGTAAAGGAACTGTGGAGTGGCAAGAGAAGAGACTGAGGGGATGCTGGGATTTAAAGAGCAGCAGATGAGCGTATGCCAGGTTTTAGAATGAGGATTTGAGTTCAGAATTCAACTCACAAGGACGAGACATAAAAATTGGTCACATAAGGTAATAGAGATCCTGGTGATCCTGATGCAGTGGAAAGACTCCGTGGCACTCGGTTTCCTGCAGCTGACATTGGAACGTGCCTCTGAATAAAATCCCAGCTAGATAACACATTCTGCTGTTGCTTTTAGGAGCTTTAACACATTATACACCCTCTGTCACAACTATGATGAATCATCCTCACAACAAGGATGAATGTAGAATGCAGAGAATGAGGGCGGCAAAGTGAAGTGTTTGCTGATTCACGCTCCAAAATCTGCCCAGAGGAACACTGAAGTGAAGACAATGTGTCCACAATGTGATATCAACACATTATTTTTTGCTGACAGAAATAATTCTTAATGCATGTGACATCAAAAAAAGAATGATTGTAACAAGTTTCTCGATGTGTTTGCTTTCACTAAAGTTTGCCATCCACCCACACTGACTGTTCACCAAAGCCCTGGCAGCCTGATGCAATCCACTCTTGTTTTCCCTTCCATCTCTTCCACCCTCCCCATCCGTCCTCATGCCTCTCATCATTCATGCTGTGTACACAGTCTGTCCCTCTCTGCCTGCCCAGGCTCCTCCGGAGCTTGTTAATTGCGTCTGTGACACAGGTCTGTGTGTGAAGCAGCAGTCGTAATTGCTCTGGCCTGGCCTGAGGAGAGGAAGGGTGCGGCCGTCTGGCCTCAGGGTCTGCCCCAAGGCTGTGAGATTAGATACATGCTTCCATGTTTGATGAGGTGGATAGCATTAGTAGTTTTATCAGGGACAGAGTCTACTGTCAAACTTGAATGGCTGTCTTCATCAGGTTTGACTGTCTACTGTGATATCCTTTGAACTAAACCAGGCACACTTTATAAAAATTATCATTTTAATTATAATAATAAACATTCAATATTGATTATTGTTCTAGACATAATCACAAAGCTATAAATAAAAAGATAGAACCCTCTAAATGAAATAGAAGAGATCATGACATATGACACTATAATAAGAGAAAAGTGAAGCCAAAGCATCTTGATCGCCCCCTGGTGGCTTCTTAGTGGAAGGGATATAGACCAAACTAAAAAGTCAGTGTACAGAACAAAGGTACTTTTTGTCACACTGATGTACGTTCAAGTTGACATTTTTCTGAAAAGTGCCCGTTTATTTGCTTATTCGATGCTATAGAAAGGTGAAACATCATGATTGACAGCTGAGCTGGATTTGCGATTGGTCGAGTACATGTATTGATGAAACTTCGATACCTCATTTCCATCCTTAGATCGCTTCTAGTCAGACCCTGGCGCCAAATTACATCACCGGCACAAGATGGCACCGCTCCTATCCAGGGAACTCTGGCTTCCTTTCTGGATAGTGATATCATCTTCATATGCAAAAAGAATTCATGAACGTAAATTCCAAAATGAGATTTAATGTCAGAAATTGAGTCAGCTGACCTGATGGTCGATGGAAGCTTGTT